AATTTATAAATCAGGAAGCAGAGTTCCAAATGACCGCTTCTGAGACAATTAAAGGTCTCTCAACACTAAAGCAGAAAAGTACTGACAAAGAGAAGAGAGGGGCAACTCTCTTACAGTCTGAAAGAGAGAGAAGGATTGTGTGACAAGTGACAAGCCACTCATGAATATTTAGCAGTTTGTGTAACTTCCGGTAACTCCGGAAGTCACGTGGTGAATTTGACCTTGTATTAGTATTCATTCACTGTGTGCAGTTGTGTGCTCTAGGCGTTGTCCGAAGTTGTCTGTCAGGGTTAGTATTTACTTATAATGTATCATATTCAGAGTTATTCATTATAAAAGATAACATTATATAAGAAAATACAAGCGCTATCTTGTTGTGACAGCGTAAGTACTAATAGTTGTCTTATGATACCGATATTTGTCTCGCCTTCAGTTTCAGTATGTATGTAGCTTTGTGAAATAGGCCTTATTAAAATATACTCTTTGTACTTTTTCAGGGGCCTTATATATATGCCGTCTTTTTACATATGCCTTCTTTTTATATACCTTATTATGCCACCGTCAGGCCATTAAATGACTTTATCAGGCATGAGATTTGGTTTTGATAAAAAAGTAGTGTGCGTGGGGGGGTTGTTAAGGGGGGTGCGCCCCCCTTATTAATTCTGTTGATGTACGTTTAAACCATGTCATAGATCTAGTACAACTATCGTTTATACTATTACTAGTGACAACCCGTCATCACATCAGACGATCAGTAGATTTAGTGATTCAACAGTTGGGCACAATTTTAAACGAGCGACAAGTCGACAACTCAAAACATGAAAATTTTCAAATGCAAGTTCAATGTCTTCATACGACATACACACAACCGATCTAGTAAAACAACCTACCTGAATTTATTCTTAATCCCTTTATCGATTTCTCTGACTCTATCGTCGTTTACACCGGCCTCAAGTAGCTTCATTTTCCAAAACGCAAAAGCGACACACGATACCACATGGAAAAAACCGCGCAGCGCTATATGAACAGGATACAGGCCGTTTTACGGTAATTGCATTCAATGACTGTATAAATGTCGTATAGATGTCGCAAAAGTTTCCCCCTTGATAACAGTGCGTCCCAGAATCGATATATATGTACGGTTGGTAACGTTTTTCGGCAAGGTCAAAATTGAAAACATGCGAGTGCCGATGAGTGAAGGGTCTCGCCGGGGAAGGGAAGGGTACCCCTACCCCCCCCCCCCCTAAAATTTTCTCAACGGATTTGCAATGATATAAAAAATGACATTTTTGAAGGAAAAAAGTCGGAATTCCGCCAAAAGATGGAAAAATCTCATGCCTGCTTTATATGCCACAATTGAACTGAATAAACTTTTGGAAAACTAATCATCTTTGTCATTGTTGCCATGCTATGAACGCCGCAGGACTAGCACCTTACAATGCACTATGGGGAAAAGCAGTAAGGATAAAACTTGACTATTCAGAAATAAAAGATTCCCAGTGTGACGATGTATTGCGTTAGTTGAGATTGTTTTATATTGCTGCCGGTAGATGTCTCTATAAGTAAAGTACAGTCCGGTGCGCACGTTTGAATCTTTCCTGTGATTGGTAACTTAAAGGTAAAACTGTTCACTGTATAATTGGTTCTGATTGGTAAACGTGTACTATCTGAACTTGTATATAAGGTGTGATCTGAAATAAATCGGTCTCTTTTGGGGCTTCTTTGCGGTCTTTTTGGCTCTTGTGGTCTGTGCTCTTGGCTCTTTGGGGTCTCTTCTTTGGGCTTCTTGTTGATGTTTGATGATCTGTCTTTGCTCACCATTGACTCTAGGACACCAGTAAGTACAATGTTATTTGTACCTTCATATGGCACTCTGCCGCGAAGGCATAACACCAGATAACTGGCTGAAGAATAACAGATGGATGAACAGTGTGCAGAGATGCTAACCAATTTAAACTCTGCAATAGTGTCATAAACAAAGCAGAAGACGTTATTCAATTCCAGAAAATCCAGAAAGTGCAACAAAAACAGCAGAATTCAGACCCAACAATAGAAAAGATGAGATTCTGTCGGGAGGAACATATGAGCTTGATCAATCTGTAACTGTTATACAAGAACCGAAGGATGTTCAATTCCAAGAAGAGGAAAAGAAAAGTGATCAAGCAGTTATAACTGAGAAGGAAGCTGTGAGACCAAAAAGGGCAACTAAAAAGCCCAAATATTTGGAAGATTATGATTTGAGTTAAGTTTCATTATCGATATGATAATTGTAATCAGGTTGTAGGCAGATCCCTGTCCTGAAAAAGAAAAAAAAAAGTAATTCCTTTTTGGTTATTTTTACATTTTTTCACTAATATGCAAAGAATTGCAAAGAAGACTGCACAAGAACTATAAGGATTTCATGTTAAAAACAATTTTTTTCCAAGATATTCAATTATTCATACAAAGAGACAATTGCCACACACAGTATGTGAACCTAAGGAGAGGATCATCACACAAAATTTATTCATGAATTATACGTGACAATCACTAGGAGTCCGGGAAAGATCAGACAGATTTAGTTTACATGTATATTAACTAGAGTGAAATCAAAGACAATCACTTTAAAAAATCTGTCCAAATACGACATGGACTAAAAGCCATCCTACTGTGAAATATCGTTGGTGGTTTTTCGGAGGTCTGTACCATCATGGGAGTTATATAATGGGATAAAAAATGGATCCATTCCTGTGGGTACGCAATGGACATTTCCAGAAAAACTGAGGGATTGCAGTGTGTCTGCTACGATAAGCATGAACAAAATGGAGACTGGGGATCTTGTGATGTTAAATATGAAGATATGCAAGACTGTACGCCATTTCGGACACTACATTAGATTTGAAATTGTATCTGCAGGTGAATCGAGATCTACTTTTGGCCCTCATTCTAGTCCTAAAACCGAAACTGATGACGCCGTACCTGGCTCATTGAGAAAACTCAACAAATTTGATGTGTTGTTTGCAGCTAACTGCAAGTTGTCTCTCCCAGAAGCCTATGCAGGAGACCCCAAACGCATTTTGTTTAATAAAGTGAGGGAGATATTGGAAAAAGCTGGCGTAAAGAAACTGGAATTTTTGTGTAAAAAATATCTAACTAAAACTTATGTTTCATTCATGCCTGTATTTTACAAAAATGTTTGATTCTTGATAGGTGATGATGGTCATTACTGAAGCTTTAATGAAGTGTTTGGTACCCAAACAACAGAAGAGCATATGCCGTCTTTCAAGAAACCCCTTCAAAGAATTGAAATATGGCAAGTTTGGCCGGGAATGCACCGGAAATGGACTGGGAGGTAGACAACTTGATAACCGCATAGAAGGGCTTTTGCCAGCATGCCGATTTATGTTTGGGGGCCCAGTGAAGAAGACTGCTGAAGAAGATCGGTGCAATTACTTGATGATATCGGTTGGACAAAAAGGATGTGACATTTTTAGTTTGAATGTGGACAGGGTGGATATCGACACAGCAGCACAGCCCAGTGCCCTGCAGAAGGAAAAAGATGTCACTTGTGTAAAAGGCTAGATCATTTTAAAAGCAAATGTCCAAGTAAACGCAGTCAGCGACAGCCAATCAGAAGATGACCCAGGTGAGCCTGAAGAGAAAGACACTGTAATGAAAGTGTGGAGTTCGTCACCTAATGTAAAATGAAAGGATCGAAAGGATGTGATTTGTTGGACATGCAATAAAAGGGGACATAAATCGTATGAATACAAGCTGACGAGTCAAAGCAGAGAAACAAAGCATGTGGAACACATCATGCAAAGGTAATAAACAATGTATCAAATTCAGAGGAAAATTGTAACTTTATATTCAAAATAACAGAAAACCTGTCAAACACCAGATGTTAGTTTTCTTGTGGACTGTGGGGCCACGTCACACATAGTGACAGACAAATCAACATTCATAGAACAAAAACTTTGACCAGCTAGGACAAGCACTTTATTGAATTGGACGATGAAACTTGGACCAAAGGCATAGCCCAAGGAAGAGGGAAAGTTAATGTGTCACCGATCATGACCACTGCTGATAGGAATGCAGACAATGCTTTAAACATCCCGAGTTACAAACGGAACATTTTTTTCAGTGCAAGCAGCTACTGAGAAAGGATGTCGCGACAAATGGAACTCTTTGACATTGAGAAACATGGTCAGCTATATTATCTGTACGTTGTCATTGTTGATTCAGAGGGCAAGCACAGCTTAGAAGAGTTTTTTTGCCACTGTAATGTTACAGATATTGAGAAACTCGAATCAGTAGTTAAGGACATGAAAATTACTGATAGGAAGTTTAGTGATTGTGAAGTGTGTACAATGGGAAAGAAGACACAGCACTTTAGCAGAGTGGCTGATAGTCGTGCTAAGGTACCATTTGAGTTAGTTCACGCTGAACTTACCGGGTCTGTTACCCCTGTATGCAAGGAGGGCTAACTTATTAAATAATAGCCTGATCCTACTGATTTTCGAACTTGTCCTCGGCATTATGGATATTTATCCATTCTGTAAATTTTAAGCCAAAAGGTAAAATGGTTTTCCCTTTATCTTTTAACTGTGGCGCATAAATGCTGAAATAAGTGAAAAAACAGCATAACTATGGAAAAAATGGCCCGATCATGCTGTTTTTCAAACTTAACCTGCGTATATTGAATATTCATCAGTTCTGTAAGTTTCAAGCCAGAAGGTAAAATGGTTTTCCACGTATAATGTTATTGGTGAAAATGTACGATGACAGCAATGACGAAACAACGGCGACGACAGACACAGGTGACGGCTATATGTACAGACACATCTGTGTCTGTACATAAAAATCTCTGCGAGGTGGAGATTTCAAAGCTCAAGGTTGCCTTTTTCATCTCCACACTCACCAAAAAAGAAAATAATCAATATAATTACAATTATTATAATAATAATAATGATATTGATACTGTAACAGCTGACACTAGTTGCATTTTGGGAAAGGGAAATTCATTTTTAATTTTAATGTTCTAAGATTTGAGTAAAGAGATGTTACTTTCAGCTAATACCAAGCAAAAAATCTGTTCCATAGAATTTGTTCCGGACAAAGAATAAATTCAGTTAATGTGTCAACCCCAACTCCAGGCCCCAATTTCACAAAAAAATATATATATGTATAACTTCGGTTCCCTGGCTAAGAACTTAATTACCAAGGTTACATGGTCATGTGGGTACATCTTACCCTATCAGGATCAGTGTAATGTTCAGCACTCATGTAGAAATCCTAGTCAACTAAACCAGGGAACAGGCTTAATTTAAATGCTGACCAATTTCCAAGTCGTATTCATCCTTCTTTTTCAGGACAAATTTCATACTGTATAATGCAGATATCCTCATTCCCAAATGCAGGGTCAAGTATATATGCTACTCAGTTTCCAAGCTATAATTACTGTTTTATTTCATGATGAATTTCATGATGTGGATATCTTCACTCCTGTAAACAGGATCATGGCGCTCCAAAGGTATCTCCTCCACATGAAACACTTTCTCTACCAACTGAAATACATAAATTGGTAAATATTAACAAACATGTGGATGATTAGATGATGAAAACAAAAAGATTAAATAATGAAGCAGTCAATTTAAATAACATGATTTATAAACAGTGATCTAAAAAAATATAAGAAATAAATTTTAAAATAAGCAGGCAAAAGAACAAATAAATAGTGAAAAAGAAAAGAATGTCTTAAAACAAAGTGAAGCCACATTCACTTTCACAACACACAGTCTAACTATTATATAAATCAAATAAATAAAGAATAATGAATAAATATAACATAACACACTCATGTTTAAAGAGGGTCATTTTAAAGTGTCAGATTTCCCTAAGCTCCTTTTTTCATCTTCTTTGAAGAATTTCTTTTGCAGCTTACATTTATTCCAGCTGGCCCTTTTCCATTCATGGCAATATTTGTGAGAAATATCTTAACTTCTGTTTTTACTTACTTCAAAGAATTTCTTTTGCAGCTCGGGTTTATTTCCAGTTGTTCTCTCCTCATAGGAGCAAATGACCACCGTGTGGTCATCGCACAGGTCAGTTATAGTCTGGACTAGAGGTCCTACAGCCTGAAATGAAAGTTAAACTACTTCAGTGTGGTCATCACAGAGGTCAGTTATGGTCTGAACTAGAGGTCCTACAGCCTGAAATGAAAGTGAAAGTACTTCAGTGTGGTCATCACACAGGTCAGTTATAGTCAAAATCAGAGCCTGAAATGAAAATGAAAGTGTCTTCATGAGAAAATACAAATCATCGCAACATTTATGTGGTCATTACATTAGGTCGTTATAGTCTGAACTAGGGGCAATATAAAAACAAAACTGAGAGAAATTTGGAAATTTTCAAATTACTGATACTTTTGGCCATTTCCATTTCTCCACAAACCTTTTTTTTTTATACTGAACATAATAATACATTCAGGTTGGACTCCTATAACACTTTAGTACAAACAAATATCTTTACAAGAACCTTGTGTGTGCAAATGTGTGTATGTGTGTGTGAGAGAGAGAGAGAGAGAGAGAGGCAGGTGACTGAGAGAGGAGAGAGAGAGAGAGGTCTTTTTTCTAAAATCTTAAATAATAGTTTAATATTAACAACTACATGTATCTTTACACACCTCCTCATAATACACACAGTCAGCAATCAGTATGTAATCAGGCGGCTGGTAGTCTGTCACATCTGTTCCCCACCTGAGTTCTCTGGCTATGGCACTACCTGTGATCAGGGCCTGGTTCACCCTGATGTTCAAAGCCATCAGTGGAACAAAGTCTTTAAGATCTGTGATTATGGAATTGGCACTGAAACATGAGCTATATATGTAGTATATAACAGCTGATATAAAATAGAGGGGGAGGAGGAACAAATGGTACATGCCCTCCTTCAGCTTGAGATCCCCCCCCATTTGCCCCCCTCCCCCCTTCTCAAAAAAAAAAAATATATATATATTATGGTCTAAAACCAAATGAGGCATAACCAAGCAATTTTTCTGTTATTGATCACTAGATATTAAGAGATATGTCCTTTAAATCTGCTGAGCAAAATGAGTTAAAATTTTATCATTTAAAATATTTTAAAAGATCCTGATTCAGTTAATGCTGTAATTACATTTTTCACTCCTGAATATCTCTGTATCTTCAAAATTTCACCAAAATGCATAAAGATACAGTCTTAATCACCAATGCTGATGCCAAAAAAATCCTTTTTAGAAGAGGTACCTAATAATTAAGATCTAAAAGAATACTATAACCCCCCAAAATAATAACAGCATACCCAAGACATGCGGCCTGTATTCCAACAATGCCTGTCCCAGCTCCAAGCTCCAAAACATTCTTCCCTCTCAGTTTGTTACTCCCAGGAGTCTCCTGGAAATCTGGAGTCTCCAGGTAGAGAGTTAGAGCTATGGCGGCGTCCCACACCACGCAGCCGACATCACCCACCACAGACTGGTTAATACAGAGTACGGAGCCGTCATTCTTCTCTAGCTCTCTGGTGAACAGGTTGTCTAGATCCACCGACTGTGACATGGTGTCAAAAGTCACTGTCAAAAATATATACTGTACAGTAATAATATTATTTCAGTACTATTGAATGTCTAAATATATTATTGTGCAGTCTTCAATATACTACAAGTACGTACTGTACTAATTAAATGAAAATTAACAAGAACAAAATCTTAGAATTTTTACATACAATCTTTTATTTTAAAAGCCAAAAATACTTGTTCATAAGTACATGTAATACAGTATGTCAATAAACAGAACTAATGAATACTTTTTAATAACTGTGATACGAGTTTTCACAATAAAACATGTAAAAAAAAAACAAAAGAAAATGAAATATATATATATATATATATATATATATATATATATATATATATATAAATGCTAAATAATTATTCAGTGCAGATGAAAATAGAATAAATAATTGAGAAAAAAATAATAAAATCCATATTTAATGGAAATCCGTGTACACAAAAGAGTACGACTGAAAAGTGTATTGCATTGTAATTACTGACTTATCAAGAACTCTGCTAGGATACAGTACGGGGGGGGGGGGATAGTACTAGTGACAATGCTGTATATAGCAGTTATATACTCGGTATACTTACAAGCTACACACGTGTACTGGTACGTTCATTAGACTGCATCATGATAAGTAGATCTACACTACATTGAGTCGGGTGGTGTTTCTCAATTAAACATTCACAAGTAGTCTCTGTATCTCCAGAATAAATGTCTCTAGATTTCACAATTGCTGTCTGAAGTGTAAAGGGAGATCCATAACCCAGTGGATCAGTATAAATGTATAAAATTCGTACAAGCACCAACCGGTAAAGTCACGTTGACTGTTCGCTGTTTTCAATGGAGCTCTTGCGTAAAGGGAGAACTGAACCTAAAGGAAGGTCAAGGTTATATCTGCCGGGAAATTTTAAGACTTGTTGTATTTTAATTTTTGTTACGTAAGGCACAGTTGTGGATTTGATAGAATTTATGTATCCCACAGATAATTTGAAGAACCTCTATCTGACAAGGATACCGCTTGAATACACAGATGATGAGCTGACAGTAAGATCCACTTTTATAAATTAATATTAAAATTTAATTTAAATTAAACAGCTTCATGATCGATGATCACCGTTTAGCATGATTTTTGTCCTGTTAATAGTGCCATGACATATTAAGAAAGAACTTGCTGTGAAGCTTTAATACCATCTGCATTCTAGTTCTTTCACGTTATTCTTACTTATTAATTGAATTATTTTTTTTAATTTTATTTTTATATCTTTTAAAATTATTTATTTAAAGATTTTTTTAATTCTAGTAGTTACAGCTCTTGACCAAGTTTTTTTTTTTTTTTTTTTTTT